ATATATTAAGCAACTGAACCACATTTAAACAGTTCTAGTGAAAATAAAAACATGATATTTATGATGAACAATTACAAAATCAAGTTTTATGTTACAAAATCAAGTCTGATTGTTTCATAGAAGATCAAACCATGCATATGTCTTATGTGTCAGTTTAAAATTACACTTGATCTAAATAAACATCATTTTAAGTTTGATTATTAAAATATTTTCTTATAATCATATACCTTGTAAGACAAGATGCTTATGTATATTGTGCACTTTCAACATGCGTTTAATATATGATCATAGCTTTTGAAACTTTAATAAAATACTTCAACTTGAACATTATGAGGCTTCTAAATTATCAAGTCACTTTCATATTATAATCAACTCAGTTTTGTGTTGATAATCTGATAATAGGAAACTTAAGCCCAAAGTCTGCAGGTTCTCAGAAATGTTACTTTCATAACTACAAATAGGCATAACACAGTTACACAGAGACACAATACTACATGATACAGTGAGGGTATTATCCCAACATGATCTAATATTTACCATTCTATGTTTAAAAAAAATGACCCCCATCCTCCGGAATGCAGCACAGTCTACTACCAATAATTATGACACAATTCAGCAAAAATAAACGGGGTTCAGAAACCTATTTCTATGAATTATAATGAATACAATAAGGTATAATAAACACTATAGCTCACCTTTTCTGAAAAAAAAAAAAATAAGCGTGGGGTCTGATCTTTCCGACTTTCGCCTTTCCGAATGAAAAAGTTAACACCGGATATAAGTACATAACGCTATTACAGTCTAAAAACCAACTTGCATTTAAAACTCCGGAATACTACGACACGTTGTGAAGAAAATTTACAAGACGTTGTAAAGAAAATTTACATGATGTAAAAGAATACAATAGCATATTCTATTTATCATACGAAATACATGAAAGATAAATACAATGGTACAAACTGAATGCAGACTTTCTATCAACGATAAATTATATATTACTACCTAAGCTGAGAATGATTTACCAGTAATTTTTTTCACAATTATGAAAACTGTACTATGGCCATTTTGAATTTTTGAAATGCGCCATTTCAGCCCAACCTTATTTTTACAATTTCAGATAATAAACTCAAAAATGAAGGTCATTGTACTATAGGAAATAGCTACCTGTATCCAATCTGTCATTTGGTATGCTTTTCGTCTATGTAGAATCAAAAGGTCTTCTCATCTAGATATTATTTTTCTTGAGCAAATTCTTGGTATTTCTTTCGCCATTTTGTCCTTCTTTCTTCTACTGAGAATCTATCCAATGAGCGAGACGCATACTGGCGCGATACGCACCTAGTGATTCACCAAAAATGGCCGTCCATTGTTTACATTGAAAATTCAACATAATTTTTGCAGCTTTTTTATTTTTTATTTTTTTTAAAGAAAGCTTTCACGTTTTTACTGCAAAAGTTCTCTTGAATATCACAGAATTAGCACTTCTGCACGATAATACCAAATTGATCATGGGATCGCGGGGGGTATACATGTAAAACCTGCTTATGTAAAGTAATTATAGTAGTTGTTGAAACGGAGTGCCCTAAATTTGATAGATAGAAAATCGTGTACTCTCATAAAATACCAAATAAAAAAGTCATGAAATAAACACTGATAGACTGTATTTTCACATTCTCATAATATTTTCAACATTTGAAGTTTAAAATGGTGGCAAACAAGGAATACCACTGATTGCCGATTTCTTTTCATACAATTTTTAAAATAATATCTTTAAATTTTGAAATAGTATATTGAACAAACAAATATTTTCCGATTCCCGGTAGATTTATACTAGATTGATAGAAAAATATCTAAATGGTTTGGATGTTTTTGTTTTCTTTTAATCAACATTAATCAATTAATTACGCTTAGAAAAATCTTACTCGACATTTTAAGCTTGTATGAAACATTTTATATAAAAAAATTATATATATTTTTTGTAACAATTTGATGTGTGTGATTTTATGTAAAGTTTTATTTAGTGTGTGCTAGATTTTTTTTTAATTTGCCTATTCAGTAACCTTGGTGTCACTAGTAAAGGCTACTGGTGTGTGTATACCATATACAGCTGATGTATATACGCTTGGTCACAGTCCATTGTTCCCCTTAGGTAGAAAAACCTCTCAAATCACATAGAATATACAAAAAATACACTAACACAGAAGCAGGTGTCTTTGCGACACGTGTCCTCACCTGTGGCACGTGAAGACAGGTGCCCGTGAGTGAGGTTCAACGTAAATAATTGAAAATATGATCAACTTACACACTGCATGGTATTATAAGAAATTTACTTCTACAGTTTAAATCACATACTCAGCACATTAGGCTTCTCAATACGAATATAATTAAACACATTGCTAAAAGCTATACCGCGTTTACAGTAATATTGCATTAAGGACAGACGATACAAACAAACTTTTGTCAAAAAATATGAAAATAACAACTTGAGTCATGTTTATATGAGTAAAATGAACAAATTTTACTGCGTAGTTTTTAATTTTTTCATTCAAAGTTTCACAATAACGGGATTTGAAGTGAAAAAAATTGTAAAGATTAATAAGGATGGTTGCAGAAAGGTAGAATTTTGAACATCATAGAAGGTTTATAATTTCTTAATATTTCAGAAATTTATTATTTGCATCATTTGCAACAAAAATAGGCCCAAAAATATTATACCAATCCAGGCATCCCTTTTTGTATCATCTGTCCTTCAAAATCATGTAGGCAAATTTGATAAAAATTAATATGCTGCAAATCCTAAGGAACATTTACATCAAATTTTCAGGACATGTTTTCTTGTAATATTTTTTATGCAGTAAATCCGTGGCCTTCCTTAATTAAATAAATATGAGTGATTCCATGGGAGAACGGATAAGATTAACGTCTTTTAAATCACGGTTAAGTTGTATTCGATCATGAGGAAGAGACACAAATAATGTTAAACATAATGTAATAATAAAAACATCTAACTATTGCGCTATATAGTTCTGTCGAACACTGAATATATTAGTAAAAAGAGTTTACATATCAAGTTAAATGGATTCCTGTAGTCAGTAGTGTTGTGCTGTTAACAGATTAAATTATTGAAGCATTATCACGTTTATTATTAATTTCATTATCAATGAAAATTAGAAACAAGTAAACAACATCAGTATGGCACACTTGTCATTATAATCATACAATGACACGTATGTAAGAGCTTCCAAAGTTCCTAAGGTTGCGTGTATTTCTCGACAGGTGGTATCAGAATTATAATTATGAATTTATTTTAGCTAACATGGCGCTTTCTTGTTTCCTGAATTACTATACATATGTTCTTATTTTTTTTTAAAAAACACGTTTATTAGATAATACACAAGTGCAGGTGTATCTAAACAACTAAATTAAACATAATAATCGACGGTGTAAGAGAGAACTTTTGAAATACATAATTAGTAATATTTCAACATGTATCATGGAACATATGCAGCAAGATGAAGTCAGATGACGGCAGGGCGAAACGTATATCACTTCATGTCTGATAACTCTTACTAGGTGCAGTCATCTTGTTTTCTCGGGTCATGTTGGCTCTGGTAATTATCTGTATTTCATGCAATATGAAGACAAACTATTTATTTAACACGTTTAATTTTGTAAATCTGTTATTGTAAATGGAGGAACCGGGAATTATTCCCCCCAAATATATCACCCCTTGACACAAACGTAATTTTTGTGTACATTGTACATGATGTATGCTATGAAAAGAATCAATTCCCGAGGAGGGGGGGGGGCTCGAGTAGGGAACTGTAGAAAATCCTCGCGAGAGGAATTGATTACGTTTGAAAACATACCGTTAGTTTTTTTCATTTGCTACATATCCATTTTTCAATTGAAAAAAGAAAATCAAATCTAAACCATTAAATCAAGTATACACAGAGCGGACACAAGTCGTAAACTGAATATGAATTATTAGATTTAATAATAAAAAAAAAAACCTAAATTTTCTTTACAAGCATTAGTAAATAAAAAAGTAACGTTAGTTAATTTATCTACTCTTTTAAAAAAATTGATGAAAATAATTTCAGGTTGGTTTCAGCATTGCGGAAACCTTAAGGAATCGAAATTAACAGTTTCCGGAACCTGAAACCTCATGAAACTAATAAGTATTGTTACATTGTCGTTAAATTTAATTTCACGCTGGTTTCCATTTTGCGGAAACCACTAGTAAACAAATCTAATAATTTCAGTATACGGAAACCCTACAGAAACTTACTGAAACTATTATATGGTTTCCGCATAGCGGAAACCATACAGGAAACTTCAACGTCAAGTTTCAGCAAGGTTTCCATATAGTTTCAGTTTTGCGGAAACTGGACTTTTCATCCAGTGGTTGTCAGTTTCATAAAAAATTGCCAGCAACTAAGATCCGCCAACCGAAAACGCCAACGTACTCACGTTTTTGCTATTTCATGGCTGTTTCTAGAAAATGAAAGTAGACTTTTAATTTAATGTACGATACTTACTATGCGAGTGAAATCTAAATATAGTTTACGGACATCATCTTGCATCTAGTGTGTTGTTAGAGGAGTAAGTAAGAACTCTGGTGCACCTGTTTCGGTGTTTATTTGCAAAATTTATTAATTTATAAGTATAGATTCTTGATACAAGTATTGTTCCGGGGATGGGGGATACACATAAGCACTTTATTTCAATATTTAAACCTACATGAGATTCAGAGTAAAATATTGAAACAAAGTGCTGATGTGTGTTAATTTGTGTTGAGGCTCCAGTTAAGTTTTCAAAATCGATATTTCAGTGATAGTACAAAATACATGTACTAGCGGCCAGCCAATCACTTTCCCTTAAAGGATTAATGCTTTCATATTTATAATTGGCAGACGGAAGATAAATTTTTTACTTTGTATAATTTTGCAGGAGTTACTGTCGCATTCAAAGTACGACATAATGAATATTTGTGTGATAGGTTTGACTATTGTCTTCTTATCTGTATCTCAAGCTACTCAGATTTCGCTAAAATATAACGCAAAACTGGAATTTGACAATAAAAAGTCAACTGACGAACTTTTAGGAGAATACGACGCACAGTCGTTGTGTTTGTGTTCTACAATGTGTAAAAATGACTGTGGCTTCTATGGATACAATATCATTCTGAAAAAGTGCCGTCTCCACAAAGAAATCTACACGTCAGAAATTTCTGAGGAGACCGGTTGGAAGTACTATTCTCATAGTATGTATTGTTCTTTATTTCTTTCAACATTAGCAATTTATACATAAAATTGCCGGGGGCATGTAGTGTTACCCTGTTCCATCATCACCGTTCACGGTAGCTCAGTCGGTGGCGCTACGTGATCGGAAGGTCATGAATTCGAATCACGGCCGCGAATGACTTAAGTCGGTAAAAAAAAATATGAAGCAACTGTTCTTTTGCCATGCGCTCGGCACTTTGAAGTGAAAGTTGCGGGGCTTTCGGATGAGACCTTACAAATCAAAGCCCCGTGTCACGGCAGGCGTTGGCACAATAAAGATCCCACACTGCTCAATGGCTCAGAGTGCCGAGTAAAAGTCAAAATTTGAAGCCCTTAACTGGTATATGGTGACGTCTCTATATGAGTAAAAAAATTCTCGAATGGGACGTAAAACGACATTCAATCAATCATTCTGTCATCATTGACGTTCCTTCCGTTCATTATCTCGGTAACAGTTTCACACACTCAACTCAAATTTGACATATGGATACGCCATAGGAATAAGCAGGTCAAGTTCGAATTTCGTCATGGTCTGATGTTTTTTTAAACTAAGAAATTTTCAGTTTCCGCTCTCTTACTTTTGTAGGAATGTATGTATAAAGATGAATTTACATGTGCAGGTATTTTAATAGGAAATACAGGTCAAGTTCGAATTTGGTCATGGTCCAATGATTTACTCTTGAACTTAGTAAAAAAAAAGAAACTTTCAGTTTCCGCTCTCTTACTTTTGCAGGGATGTATATAAGGTTGAAATTGCATGTGCAGTTACTTCACCAGAAAAAACAGGTCAATTTTGAATTTGGTGGTAGTTTGATGATTTTTGAAAGAGTTATCCCTCTTAAACAGAAAAGATTTAAAAATTTACAATTTCTAATCATTACCTCAGCTACAAATGTGCAATTTACAATTTGCAGTTTCTTTTTATTATCTAAGTTATAGATGCACATTTGTGCATGGTATTTGAAATTTTGGCTGCCGGTGGGGGCATTCGTGGCGTTACGACACATCTGGTTAAAAAAAAACATTAACAGTTATACCACAATAAAATACAAATTTTAGATAAGGAAACAGCTTCCAACATAATGTTTCATTCTTCATTTATAAGTTATTTTCGATTTTTCTGAAAAACAAAATGTGTCTTCTTTTTTAACTCTGCTAATTCAAAAATGCTTTTTTATGCCTCCTTCGAAGAAGGGAGGGCATATTGCTTTGCTGCTGTTTGTCGGTCCACCAACAGTTTCCGTTCATTTTCTTCGTAGAGTTTGCACATACTGAAATGAAATTTGGTATACAGATTTATCATAAGAATATCTAGGTCAAGTTCTGTTTTGGGTACGATCGAGCAATTTTAGACAGAGTTATGCCCCTTGGACTTACAAAAAATCAGATTATTTGCAGTTTCCGTTCATTTTCTTTGCAGAGGTTGCACATTATGAAATGAAATTTGGTATTCAGATTTATCATAAAAATATCTAGTTCAACTTCTCTTTTGGGTACGGTTGAGCAATTTCTGACAGGGTTTTGCCCCTTGGGCTTAGAAAAAATCAGTTTAGATTATTTGCAGTTTCCGTTCATTTTCTTTGCAGAGGTTGCACATGATGATATGAAATTTGGTATACAGATTTATCATAAAAATATCTAGGTCAACTTCTGTTGAAAAAATTTCCGATTATTTGAGGGGAAAGGGGCATTTGTGTTTCACAAACATCTCGTTTAATTTAAAATATGCGCATTAATGTTGCAGTAAAAATATATAACCCGGGTTATGATCATTTTTCTGCAATAGCTGAACTGTTAATTCCCATAATATCTGACAAAGAGCGACATTATATATATATATATATATATATATATATATATATATATATATATATATATATATATATATATATAATGCTTTAAGTACATTAAATTTGCACTATTGATATGTACGCCAATGTATGTTTCATTGCCACTGCTCAAAACATCTATACAGAGACATGTAGCTTACTAAGCGGCGTTAAGTATTGATAACTACAATGGTTTTAAAGAGAAAAAAAAAGAGATAATATTTTATTTCAAAATCCTGCAAAGAAAATATTTATTTTTAAGATACATTTTTCACATCCCCCTTTTTCAGTTCTTCCTACAGATTGTAGGGACTTGCGTGAAGATGGTTACACCAATACAGGGGTGTACGAGATTTATCCCTATGGCAACAGTTCCCTTTCTGTCAGAGTGTTCTGTGATATGGATACAATGGACGGAGGATGGACGGTATCTAGTTTATTTATAAATTTAAATATCGTGTAAATTTTATAGGAGATTTATGTTGTAAATGGCATGAAACAGGAAACAATTACTATGGGTCCATCTTATCATACAGATGTAAATGAAAATAATATGTTTTTATCTTTCTAAGGCAATCCAAAAGCGTGTGGATGGAACCGTGAGCTTTGAAAAGAACTGGGGAGAATACAAGAATGGTTTTGGTGCACCGGAAACGAATATCTGGATCGGTACATATAAACCTCTATACAATCAGAAGATTGACTCGCCTTTGAAATTTGTCAAATGATATTTGTAAAGACACATCAAAATTTGAAAGAGAATCAAAGTTATTGAATGTCCTAATTTTAAGAATAGGTTATAATCACTTACTGCGTATTATTGAATTCTCATATTTTAAATTAAAAAAATTAAACGTAAAAGAGAGGGAAATCAAATCATACCATTTCATATCCATGCTAAACAGTCTTTTTGAATCACAGCAACTACACGTAACCCAAATATCAACATATTTATAGGACAAAGTTTGAAGTATACAAGAAGCATTTTCAATGGTCAATTTATTCTTCCTTGGGAAATATTTGTCTTAACTCTTACAGTAGTATATTATGCTGATATGCATAAATTGATTCCAAAAGTATCTTAACACAGGAAATGAAGTAATCCATCAGTTAACAAAGGGAAAGAGCTCGTACCTGTATGTCTCTATAACACTGTCGAATGGAAGCCGACTGTATGAGCTATACGATCGATTCTCGGTTTCCAATGAAACAGAGAATTACAAACTCTTTCTAGCGGGAAATGCTACAGGAAGCCTAGGTATGTAATAAGTAGAATGTGCATCTTACAAACAAAAGAGAGAGAGAGAAAAATGGTTCAAATGAATAATTTTACAGTTGAATGTATGTTAGGTTTTATGTCAGTTTTCAAATTTGTAAAACGTATAAAAAAATTAAAGTATTCATTATTCTGTTATGTCGCTTTCAACCTTTTTTATTGATCGATTGCTTTACGTCCCATTCGAGGATTTCTCACTCATAAAGAGACGTCACAATATACCGGTGTAGGGTCTAAAATAAGACCTATAGTCGGACTCAGGGCTGCTGAACATTGAGGCTTCTTTATCATGCCAACGCCTACAGTAACATCGGACCTCGGTCTCTTAGGTCTCAATCGAAAAACCCGTGACTTATACTTCAAATGCCGGGCGATTGACGAAGGAACAGCCACTATCTATGTTTACGTCTCAGGTTTGACTCGGCACGAAGGTTGAACCGAACCCAGGCTTCCCGATCACGACGAAAACGCTCTTCCATTGGGCTACTGTGAGCAGTTTTGACCCTTGTAACACGTATAAAGATATTTTTCAATTCATACCTCTCATTTTCTTTTCAATCTTCTAACACGTATTTGGAAATCGGAGTATTAACACCTTTCTGATGTCGGTTTTCTGAGCTTGTATTACATGTTAAAGCTGAACAGGACTCGTAAATAGGCATACGCCATTTTCGATATTATATCTACGATACATCAACACCAGGGTATACTCTTCGCATTCGTTACACCTGGCTGCTTTATTGTCACGGGTATCGGCGTGGAATGGCGACCCGTGTTCGTGCTGGTTATCTTGCATTACCTTTGTTTACATTTTATTGTAGTTACGTGTAACTGTGTTTGTTTGTATACTGCACTGACCTGTACAACTATAATTGTAAGTTTTTTTTTTGTATCTTACTTTCCTGCATTAGACGAGGTATTAGTTATTTTTGTCGCTACCGAGTGCTGTATAGCATACGTCCGCCTACACCGCTGTCGACTGATTATACTGAACAGTGTCCAAGTCAGGCCCTTTATATAGGGGTCCTCAGATATAGCGAGAATCCGAACAAAAATGGCGGACACATTGCTTTTACGAATCATGTTCAGCTTTAAGATATGGAGTATTCACACACCTCTCATGTCGTTGTCAAACTTGTAAAATGTATTATGTAATCGGAGTAATCACACTTTTCCCATGTCGGTTTCAAATTGTAACACATATTTATAAATTAAAGTAACCACAACTCTTTTGTGACGGTTTTCAAATTTATAACACTTATTTGAAATCGAAATATTAGCATATTGGTTTTCAAACGAGTAACATGCATTAAGAAACTGATCATTCACACAACCCTTATACCAGTTTTCAAACTTGTAACAATTATTTGGAAATCAGAATATTCAGAACTCTCTTTCATATCGCTTTTCAACCTTGTAAACCGCATTGAGAAACTTGATTATTCGCTCATCTCTTATGTTGGTTTTATGTTGCAGCACACATAGAAATGTCCAAAAAAAAATCCTGACTTACTTGTGAAATAAATTCCGTATTAATCCCAAAGCATTGGAAATACTCTTAATTCCAAATTTGCATATCTTAGTGATGTTTGATCCTATCTCTTCACTTATCAATGTACATTTTTATTTTATGTTGACGCTGTCTTGGGTTAATCGTTTAATTAGACAATTAGACAAGGGAACATACAATAACTTTTATTTTTTGTACAGGTGATAACGATGTTATCACTCAGATTAATAGCACTAATCAATACAGCATGCGCTACAGTATACCTTACAACAAATGAAATTATCTGTCTAAGTAGCTTAGTAATATTTTAAGTTTAAGTTATTTCATATTTATTTCTAATTTTGAAGCCCTTCAACGGTTTATGGTGACGTCACTATATGAGTGAAAAATTCTCGAACGGGACGTAAAACAACATACAATCAATCAATCGTTATTTTATTTCATAGGTGACAGTATTTTAAACACTGGTTATTCTCGTTATGATCTGTCTGGAATGTTCTTCACAACCTCAGACAGGGACAACGATAGATATAGTACAGGTAACTGCGCTGTTGAGTATAAAGGAGGCTGGTGGCTTAACCACTGTTACTATGGCTTCCTGAACGGTCCCTGGTCCTCAACAAACTGGGTGTTTCTTTGGTATCCTACAGTTACGTATGGAACGTCCGTGAAGGAGACAATGATGCTGATAAAACGTCACTAGGTACGTTATTCATTGTTAATATGCAATATTCATCGAGTTTGAAGGGCCAGTTAAATATTTACAACAAAATATTTTCAACCAAAAAAAACCCCGTAAAATCTCTATTTCCCATACGTGAAAAAACCTATTTCGTGGTGGTGATGGTGGGGTCCTCCTTTTCGGGGGGGGGGGGTGTCCAAGGTCCCCCCGACCCCCTCTAGATCCGCGCATGTAGCCAATGAAATGAGAAGAAAACATGGTTCAAATAAACGTAACCAGTACCAGTTAAATTAACATGGAATTTTTAAATCTATTTTAAAGAAAAAATAAATGACAAAGCAACTGAGTGCAGAGGAGGGAGAGGGATAGGAAGGAACAAAAAACTAAAATGAACTAACAAGTCCAAAATGAGAATTCCCCAACTTCAAAATCTTTTCCAAAGGTTTGGGTGGGGGTTAGGGTTCATGACAGGGAAGGGATTTGACTATGTTGGATCAAAAATGATACATTGGAACAAGTCTTTCAATGTTAATTTTTATACTAAATTAATAGCAAAAATTAAGAATCAGAACAAAATCCTACGTGCTCAGATTTTATGTTCATCTGACTTGAAGTCTGGTGCAGGTGAAATAATTAAGTTCTTAATCTGTTTTTAGTCTTAAGTTAAATAAAATTAATATTTTTAAAAAATAGTAAAGAAAAAAAAGAAACAAATTCTTATATTCATCTGGGAGGTCACATGCAATAGAATATAACGGAGTATTTTTTCTAATGTTTGATCTCAGCTAATAAGAAAATTATAAATAATTCAGTATTATAATAACATTCATTCTTAAAGTGTGTTGTTTTCTTTTCTTTTTCTTTTTTAATTTCATGAAATGTGTTAACAAATTCATTATTCATATCATAATCTGGATTCCGAAATTAAGAATTTTCATACAACAATGTCCGAGGGATAAAACGTACATATTTTCAGTTTTTGAATTCCTAAAATATATATTTATTTCTTATATACAGCAGATGTGGACTAAAAAGAGAAGCAACATATTGCGGTTCCATTGACACTGATACTACTGTTCTAATAAAGGAGACAATGACACATCTGTGTTAATCATTGTGGCCTTTTTAATCTGATTTAGAGAGGGACGTAGTATCCATTTTCGAAAGAGGGGATACAAGAAAATAACCTGAAGGAAAAACAGTTGTCCCTCTTCAGATTACGGGCTTGTTTATAAACAGAATAGAAAGACAATTTAATTGTGAGGATTACGTTTTTCGTGGTTATAGCTTTTTTAATACTTTCCTCAAATTGTAAATTATGAAATGAATTCTGATATCTGAAAAGAATGAAAATGTTGTAAATAAATTGTAAATTAGAAATATTTTGTTCGTATTTTCTAATATGTTACATGAAGATGCCAAATTTGGTAGTCAAAATGAAGATTGATATATTGTTAAGCGTATTATCAAATAACTTCTTAAACAAAAATGTGTGTGTGCGCACTTTTTCATATTTAAGAGCAATATTTCAAGATTTCACTTCTCGAAAGAAAGATTTATCCCCTGTCTTATGCCAACCAGGCAGTAGTTTTAAAATGTGACAAGGACCATCTTTAATTTAATGTTTTTTTTTTGCCCTCTCCCGACCAAGGGTGAAAAAATGGGTCGGTAGGTAGGTGGATAAGTTTTTCCCATAAGATTTTAATATCAATGCTGAATTTCCGAAATATATTGAAATAAAATTGCGAAAAAAAACATTGTTTCCTGGAGGTTAAAAAAGTTTTGAGGCCATTTTTAGCCAGTCAGTCAGGAGAGGGTAAACAACATTTTTTTTTTAAAGATGTCTAGTGTAATGCATTCAATCTTCTTATAACAATTGCTTCTAGGGTGGTTATAATGAACGCCTACTTTCGAGTATAATGTTGTGTATAATTTGAAGTCATGATGTTCGATGTAATACTGAGATCATATATAGTAAAATTTAGAAAAAGGATTGGAGGGAGCTACAATTTTACCTAATATGGTCGAACTTACTTAGAACAAAAACCACTTTTTTCATTGGCTTATCAAAAATTCTGCGCTAATAAAATGTTTCGTTTTCTTTTCTGAACGCTGTCAATAAAACACTTCACTTAACTGGGAACATTGGAAAAATTTAACTATTTCATGAGGCACTTAATTGATACCTTAGAGACTGGACTTTTTATGAGACTGTTAACATGTAGCTGATGGTACGAAAACGATCCCTGAATTCTCAATGGTCGTAAAATTTCAAAACATGTATTGTTTGATTGAACTCTGAGAATGATTATTGTTCGTTATCTTCATATTTATTAAGATATTTTATCTGCATTTCCCTGTATCATTATATTTTTTTTTTTCCATTTGACAGTCTTTTTTATGTCTACCTATTGCTGCTGCATCCATGCATAGCTGAACGAATAATAAATAGGCTCTCTTTATGAAAAAAAAATAAATGTTGAAATTTGATGTTTTCTAATACGTATTTGCTGATTGTCTTCTGATGTTTATAGAGTATAGAATAATAAAATCAATAAATAAAATCGTGCATACTTTTTTGGTAATAAAAAAATATAAAAACATAAAATAGAAACTGATACTGCAGCTCAAACCTTATTCAACATGAACATGCAGGAAATATCTCTACATTGTGTTCTCCCGGATTGATTGAACCCTTTGTATTCTTTGAATGTTTAATTATTATTAAATGCATGTCAGCACCTAAGTAAGTTTCTCAATAGAGGCATTGAAAAGGTCAAAGACTGTCTACGTTTATCATCATGGACTAAAAAATTTCGACACTTTTCTAAGGTTATTAGTGCAGACCCGCCTACCTTAGAAGATTATAATCCTGTTTTCTACTTATTTTTCTTTAAGATTTTTTAAATCAAAATTATAAATAATATTTATGTCCAATATTCCAGTTAACCGGGGTATTGAGGATAACCAACAAGATAAGTCAACAAAACAAAACATAAGCATTTTTCTCATTAATTTGTAGGACATTAAACTGTTTCTTTAAACACGTTTGTTTTTTAACAGTTCAACATGAAATACCGCTCTAACACCAGAACCCCTGGCCCAGGGACCATGAATTTCACAATTTGAAGAAGCACACTTGATTATTATTACCAAGTATTCAGATTGTTTACTTTATAACCAGGAGCAGAGAAGAAGGTTTTCAAAGAAATAATTTTATAAATTCTCTCTACATAATTAATAGAGATCCACATATATGTAACACCCAAACGTCTTGAATTTCAAGATTTTGGAAAAGGCACTCTTGCTCATTATAACCATACACTTAGTTTATCTGCTTAATACCCGAAAGCGGAGAAGAAGACTTCAAGCAATAAATAGGTAAATAAATGCACATTTTCATTATATTATCAATAGAGCGCTACCCTAACACCTGAACCAGGGGGTCAAGAATTTCTCAATTTTGGAAGAGACATCCTTGCTCAACTTAATCATGCACATTGTTTGCATAAAACCCAGGACCAAAGAGGAAGATTTTTAAATAATGTATGAACTTTTACTATATCATTAACAGAGCCTTACATTAATTAAAGAACCCTCGACTAATTGGTCATAAATATCAATTTTTTTAAGGGGTTAAATGCTTACTAAAATCATGCCAACAGTTCAAATGCTTGATGTCCAGGGTGTAAAGAAGAAAAACTTTAAAAGATTGCATAAATTTTCTTGGGTTAAGGTTCATCCCTTAAGGTTCATAAACATTTATGATTTTGTTCCCCTTCACCCATAGATGAAACATTCCAAAATTGGTTGAAATTCGCTCAACGGTTCTAGAGAAAAAGCTGAATATGTTCGAATGTTTACGGACGACGCACGAAGACGGACAAAAACGGACAGCAATAGATCCTGAGCGACTCAGGAGACCTAAAAATACAACACTTAATATCAAACAATATACTCTGTATCGTAACATTGTACTACTTTCCTTTAAAATTTGTATTCACGTAGCTAATTTGATTTACTAGAGTATTAATGCGTTCTTGTAATGTTTTAAATTTACTACATTCGTCGAAGAGATCTTTTAATACTTACAATCCAAATTTTAAAACATTTATTACGCTTGATTTGATAAAAGTGCTATTCCACTGTGGTTGCTGTACAAATTTGACATTAGATAAATTTGATGCTTCTATTGCCTTTTCATATTCACTGAAATAACAAAAAATATCTTTATAGAAAATAGGCAAATTAGATTTTCTACTTTTCTTTAAATGTAAGTAAATAGTGATATCTATTTTCACTTCTGTAACGTATCCATTTATGACCGGTTTATATACATGATACATCAATTCGTCTTGTAACCCATAATGATTTAAGGATTTTAGTTTCAATTCAATCAACTATTTCCATCTTTTTGTTTGTCTATAACAGTCACTGTATCTTGCCTAATTCCGTCTCCAAGATTTGACTTTTATGCAGAAGAGTTTCTACTTTCAATGCGGAAAGTATAAATGATTCACATAAAACAGAGTTACCGTTGTACTCTGAGGACATGCTCTAATAAATGTTTGACATAAAGAGGTTGGGCACAGTTCCTTTTTCGAGGAAGAATTACTATAAAACGGGATAATTCCTCTTTTCAGTAATAAAAAACATTACTGAATACGGGAATTTTCAATGGTTTATCCTCTTTTCTCGTGTTTGCCTTGAATAAAAGATTAAGTGCAAGAATATTTTCACATTCTCTAAATATTTATAGTCTCTTAAGTGTATGTATGCTAAAAAGTACAATATTTATCGCTGCAAAATGCTGAAAGAGTGATGAAACATTCCTACGATATAAATTTCTTACGGAAGCTTATCTGTGTTTAAATTGTGAGATTGAATACGTTCAGCACTTGCTAACTCGTTCATGAAATTATTCGTTCTTATTGAATTTTATATCATTTCTTTCAAAGACTTTGTAAAAACTGCTTCTTTTACAGATGAAAATAATTGTTTGAAATATTAAATTTTAAAAGATAGTCTGGTGGTTTTAGCATGAACGCCCTTATAAGATTCCAAACTTTTCGTATCATTTATCAACATGGAAAATTGAAGTAAAAGTCATGGATTACTGCTACAGGTGAGTTTAAATTCCTATGCATGTTCAAAAGACGTCACTTCCACGAAACCAAGCTATGAAATTTTCCGTTTTTGAACAAATAATAATATACTTATATGGGAAATAATCACATCGGTTGGAAGAAAACTCATGACGATTAAATCTCACGTTACTCCTGTCTGCAGCACTAAGGGACCGAACTTTTTTGTCAGCGAGGTTGGTTTAATAAAGTTTAAACACATCAACATCGTATTTTTCATGCACTTTTTATTTAATAAACGGATTTGGGGCATTATTTTATAAGGTAAATTATTGACAAACAAGTTGATGAAACAAGAATATCAGCTGTCTCGTTTAAAGTCATCATTTCGTAAGTTCTATGGTCGATACAATGACCTTGTCAGAAAATACAATTTATTATTGAGTCAAATGCTGACTGACGTTTTTCATACTAATTGTTAGGCCATTATTTACACACTGAATTATCGACGGATTTTTCCGTTATTTTCCGATCATGACAAGGAGCACACGGCGGGTGTGACCGGTAAGCAGGGAATGCTCACTCCTCCATGGCATCTGATCCCACCTCTGATATTTGGAGGTCCGTGTTTGCTTTGCTCCTATTTTGTATTGTTTAGTGGACTTTGAGCTTGAATACTGTTCGTTATCTCCATATATTTCATTTAAAAATATGACGAAAATTCCCGTATACAGTAATGTCTTTATTACTGATAAGAGTAATAGGCGTCTCCATATGAGTGAAATATTCTCGAGTGGGAGTTAAACAACATACAAACAAACAAACAAACAAACTGAAAAGAGTAATAATCCCGTTTTATAGTAACACTTCCTCGAAAAAGGAACTGTACCCAACCTGTTAGAAGAGTAACTAAGAATTTAATATGCTGAAGTTCAGTTATAATTTTTATTGATTTTCTTCCTTTTTGTTTACAAATCAGACTCAATAATGGTGCATATTTCGTTTTTATATTACGGAATAATGACATAAAAGGTAAATGAGATTATATAACTAAGCTTTTTTTTTAAGTTACTATTAATACTCTTATCTAAAAAGCAATAAATTTGGGACTTTGAAGAAGATAAATAAAAGAGCTTACGGCAAGATTTCCTATGGTCCAAAGCTGGGGACCGAGACCATAAGTAATACTATCGTGGGTATACTTTGATTGAA